ACCTTCACAGTGCGTATAAAGGAGATAAAACACCTCAATTACTGGGAGCGCTTAAAGTTCCTGAACCTGTATTCCCTGGAATGCAGGCGGGAGAGATACATGATTATATACACCTGGAAAATCCTAGAGGGACTAGTACTGAACTTGCACACAAAAATCACTCACAACAAAAGCAAAAGACTTGGCAGACGATGCAACATCCCCCCAATGAAAAGCAGGGGTGTCACTAGCACGTTAAGAGACAATACAGTAAGTGTCAGGGGCCCGAGACTGTTCAACTGCCTCCCAGCATACATAAGGGGGATTACCAATAGACCCCTGGCAGTCTTCAAGCTGGCACTGGACAAGCACCTAAAGTCGGTACCTGACCAGCCGGGCTTTGGCTCATACGTTGGATTGCGTGCAGCCAGCAGTAACAGCCTGGTTGATCAGGCTCTGATCCACCAGGAGGCCTGGTCACAGACCGGGCCGTGGGGGCGTTGACCCCCGGAACTCTCTCCAGGTTAACTCCAGGTAGGTAATTTGAAATGTCAGTATTAGCAGAATGCTGTAAAGCAGGGCCCTACTGTACTGCATTCCATTATTACCCCAGTTTATGGAATTTTTTATTGATAGTTAACTGTATGTAAATCTAGAATAATTTAGGTTCACTCAAGTAAGAAAGCCTAAAGTAATATATGCTGTATTTAATTTTAGATTGTTCAGAAATTGAGGCACATAAATGCTTTACTTGGTAGTAGGTTGGTAAACAGCAACCACTGAGGAAGGTACTACCATCCTGCCACATGAACGTGAAACAGAAACCTGTAATTGTTTTACACAATTGTAGGACTGCTGGTGTATTTTCTCTCTGTCTCTTAAACACTCAAGGTAACAAGTACCTACATCTTGCTACTTCTACTTACACCTAGTTCATACTACACATACATGTACATGTATGTGTATACACACCCATCTCTGTTTTCTTAATAATTCTTGTTTTGATATCATTTTCATGGGGAAGTGAAGAAGAATCCTTCTTCCCTAAACTGTATGTGTTATAAAAGGGAGCTAAAATACTGTGAGCAAGGGACTAGTAACAACTCACATATTTAGTACTTAATTTATATTGAAGAACATTTTAAAGTTGTGTTTGTTCTTCTTTTTAGGGGTCACCCTACCTCAGTGGGAGATGGCGGATATGTTAACCCTTTGACTGTCGACACCCCTGCTCACAAAGTTGCTCTCAGTGTCAAAGAATTTAAAAATAAAATTATTTCTTCCTATGAAATGATAGAGAATCTTTTCCCAATGGTAATGACACCCAAAGTACGAAATTTGATGGAAAACTTATGGAATTATGCTCTCGCGAAGTTTGCGATCTCGGCGATATTTACGCATCAATGATATCGCCCACTTTGAGCGCTATTTTCGGCCAATTCCATTGTTCCAGTCAACCAAGCTCATGGCTGTTTCTTTAGAACTCCATTTGTTCTATCGATTGAGTACAAGAAATAGCCCATTTACCGACTTCAACTACCCAATAAAGTGGTCAGAAATTGGCAATTTGGTCAATTTCATGCAAATTAAAAAAGATGCCAATTTCAAAATAGGGTCCAGAATGAATAATGTAGACATTCCTGGCACTAAAATAACATTTTCTCTGTTCATCAGTCACATCTCCAGGCCCTCTTATATTACTCTTGCTTTCTATTTTGAATTTTTATTCACACACACAAAAAATAGAAGATTTACTGTTATGCAGACTACTGGATTATTGTAATAATTGTATAAATAATGTCAACCCATTCATGACTGTGTATTAGAATGGCTAATTGGACGCTTATTGGAAAATGACATCATTTGTTACTCTTGAACATCGGCAAACATCAAACATATCTGCTACTTTGAGCTCAATTTCAACGCCTTTTCATCGTGAAACCAATCAAAATCATCTCCATTTCTGTAATATGTCTTCCATTCTATCAAATGAGACCAAGAAAACAAGAATACAACCATAAATGATATACGAAAATACACCTCAAAGTCAGCATTTTAATCCAAAAACACGGTCATTTTTTTTTTCTCATTATGCACTGCGTGCTGCAGGATTTTTTTTATACTGTGCACACTGATCACACAGACCCATTCTCTCACATATGGGCCTACCAGCTTTCTCCTGCTTGATTTGAAGCCACTAGAATTTTGGAGTATAAATAAGTCAAAAAAACTGGCTCATAAGATATATATATACGACTGGAAACAGTCAAAGGGTTACAAAACAAATGCTTTAGATATGAACATTGCTGTTTGAGGATGGGTTGCTGAATGACATCAGTCCCTCAGAGTATAAGTTTTTGGAAGAAATATATAATCTTGTATGAATTGTTGGAGGGGGTATTTTTCCTTTAGAAATACAGTACAGTACTTAGGAAATACAGTGGACCCTCGACCAACGATATTAATCTGTTCCTGAGGGCTCATCATTAGTCAAAATTATCGTTAGTCGAGTTAATTTTCCCGATAAGAAATAATGGAAATCAAATTAATCCATGCAAGACACCCAAAAGTATGAAAAAATTTTTTTACCACATGAAATATTAACATGACTCACGAAATCGTAATGACACGATTGCAAACAAACCATACCCCGGCCGGGATTGAACCCGCGGTCAGAGTCTCAAAACTCCAGACCATTGCGTTAGCCACTAGACCAGCTAGCCACAATAAGATTTGTCCAACTAGGTATATTTCTATACCATAGGAAGGTTAGCACAGGCACCACTGTGACCACAAATGCAAGTTTTTACAGACAAATCTCCAGCAAGCGTGGCCGTGACGAACTCTAGCTCAAGTAACCTCACTGCCATCAACATGACTCACGAAATCATAATGACACGATTGCAAACAAACCATACCCCGGCCGGGATTGAACCCGTGGGGGTATGGTTTGTTTGCAATCGTGTCATTACGATTTCGTGAGTCATGTTGACGGCAATGAGGGGACCTGAGCTAGAGTTCGTCACGGCCACACTAACTGGAGATTCATCTGTAAAAACTTGCATTTGTGGTCACAGTGGTGCCTGTGCTAACCTTCCTATGGTGTAGAAATATACCTAGTTGAACGAATCTTATTGTGGCTAGCTGGTCTAGTGGCTAATGCGACGGTCTGGAGTTTTGAGACTCTCTGACCGCGGGTTCAATCCCGCCCGGGATATGGTTTGTTTGCAATCGTGTCATTACGATTTCGTGAGTCATGTTGATGGCAGTGAGGGGACTTGAGGTAGAGTTCGCCACGGCCACGCTAGCTGGAGATTCATCTGTAAAAACTTGCATTTGTGGTCACAGTGGTGCCTGTGCTAACCTTCCTATGGTGCAGAAATATACCTAGTTGGACGAATCTTATTGTGGCTAGCTGGTCTAGTGGCTAACGCGACGGTCTGGAGTTTTGAGACTCTCAGACCGCGGGTTCAGTCCCGGCCGGGGTATGGTTTGAAATATTAAGTTTAATGCAATAGAATAATTACAATAACAACAATAACAATAGATTAATAACAATAGAATAATTGACACTTACCTTTAATAAAGATCTGGTGATGATTGATGGGATGGGAGGAGGGGAGAGTGTGGATGGTGTTAGTGTTTAGAAGGGGAATCCCCTTCCATTAGGACTTGAGATGTCAAGTCCTTGAGGACATTGTTTTTCCTGAACACTCTGGGAGTTTCAGAGTGATACACCAATAAAGACTTCACTTTGCAGTTACCACTAGCATTAGCACACATCACCACTAGTTGCAGGCATTTTTTTAATTAAATCGTCATGCAACTTCCTAGCCTTTTCACATATGATTGCTTGAGAGATGCTATCTCCTGCTATCGGTTTTTCGTTTATCCACACCAATAACAGTCTCTCAACATCTTCTCCCCTCAAGGAAGGTTCCTTGATGTTGGTGAGGGGCTCTTGATTTAGGGAATTGGATCTGTGCTCCAGTTCCCCGAATTAAGCCTGAATGCCTTCCACATCCCCCCCCAGGCGCTGTATAATCCTCCGGGTTTAGCGCTTCCCCCTTGATTATAATAATAATAATCTCAACATCTTCTATCACTTGCGATCTCAGTTTCGAAAACATAGTTGTACCTTTGGCAAGAACAGCTTCCTTGATTGCCGTTTTCGTGCCCACAATAGTAGCGATGGTTGATTGGGGTTTTGTGTACAACCTGGCCAGCTCGGAGACACGCACTCCACTTTCATTCTTAGCAATGATCTCTTTCTTCCTATCCATAGTAATTCTCACCCTTTTTGCTGTAGGGTTGGCACTAGAAACTTTTTTGGGGCCCATGGTGACTTATTTTGCAGGTGCAATCACTACAAACGCTGTGATAATATGAAATGTTCCGATTGTGTGTTTGGATGGAACCGCGGCGGCTGGCTGGCTTGTAAACACTGGCCACAAGTGGACGCATCTCGGACAGAACGAATCGCGTTGGTTGAGTTTTTTAGCGCTAGTCGAGGCAAAATTTTTGCCTTAAAATGTATCGCTAGTCGGATTTAACGTTAGACAATGCCAGCGTTGGTCAAGGGTCCACTGCACAGTACTGTATGTGATTATGGAGAAATTCTCCTGTAGTAGAAATGGAGCATTCAGGTTTTCTCTGCGAGTGTTTTGTAAATGTGCATATCAAATGGGGGACAAGGTTATAAAATAAAGTGATTGTGAGTCTGAGAAATTGCAGGTTTGAATGATTGTCTGACGATATGTTTTGCAGACAAGCCTGTTTGAATAATCCATTGGGAGAAAACAACTGAGTTATTTTCAGCTCAGTAATATATAAATAAACTTTCATTACAAATTAGTGGAAAAATTGTATCATTGATAATCCTAACATTCTAACTTCAAATATTGTATCCTTCCAGATTTGACCCAAAGTTTTAAATCTTTACAGAATATGGGTGAAACTTATTTCATTGTGCATATTTAATCCCTACTTAATTACTGATAGGTAATGTTTTATCTTTGCAGACATACGATCCAGATCGTTGCTTAGAGGATGAACCATGGTTCCATGGCGTACTACCACGAGAGGAGGTGGTACGATTACTGGTCAATGAGGGCAATTATCTAGTAAGAGAGACCACACGCAATGATGAACAACAGATTGTTCTCTCAGTCTGCTGGGGCACTCATAAGCACTTCATAGTTCAGACTACACCTGAGGTACAACATTTTGTTTCTGCATTTTTTTATTTTTCATATAGCCTTATATAACATTTTAATATTTGTATAATGTTGTTTTGCAGTACAGTACTGTACGTATTTCAGAATGAATGTTAAGAATAATTAAGTTTCATTTGTTTAAATACAGCCTCTCCTCACTTAGTGACATACTCGTTTACCGATAGCTCAGATTTACGATGGGCTCTCTGTCCAAGATGCATACCTAAATAATGTATATTAGAGCTGATTTTCTCTATTCTGTTTACTACAATGTACAGTGCACTACTGTATAAACATTTAAAAATATACTAAAATTATTATAAATGGTGTAAAGGTGACATTAAAACAATATCAAAGATGGTTGACACAAACCCACTACCATTATAACATGCTCCTCGCTTAGCAATGAATTTGTTTACTGATGTGGTCTTAGGAACAGAACTCCATCATTAAGTGAGGAGAGGCTGTACAGTGTGTTTAATGCAGAAGAGTACAATTTTTATGTCTCTTGTAAGGGTCACTACAGGTTTGAGGGTCCAGCCTTCCCAACCATCCAGGAGTTAATCCTTCACCAGCACAGCTGTGGTCTACCAGTCACAAACAAGTCAGGTGCTATACTGCGAACCCCCATCTTCCGTGAACGATGGGAATTAAATAATGATGATGTCGAGTTGAGAGACAAAATAGGCAGGGTGAGTTCATTATTGTATTTTGTTCTAGAAAAATATTACTATTTTTCCCTCTATATATTTTACAAGGTTTTCCTTCATAAGATTTCTTATAATCTCTTCTTCACATTTTTCACTAGTTATTTCAATGCTTGATAGTCCTATTTGGTTAGTCCTCACCTACAATGCAATACAGGCCATTCAGAATTCCTTCCCCCTCATGCCGTTTTTTGCTGGGTTCCTGGACTCATTGATGTCTAGTGTAACAATCAGGCAGATTCAGCCACTTGGTCAGTTGTTCATGACCTCCCAATTACACACAGGGGTATTCTTTTCACAGACTATTTGTCAGTGATCTCATCAACTTTGCCACCACTAGCAATATTGGCGGTCCAAGTTGGTCCACAATAAATTGTTTTCTGTTACACTACATTTGGGTTTCTGGCTATCTTCTCACTGCTGTCATGCTTGTGAGACTGCACTCTCCCTCCTCAGCAAGGACTGTCAGGCTGCACTGTCAGTTCACCATAGCTTAGTAGATTGTCCTGTCCATCAGTGGACATGCAGAATTCACTTTCAACATTTCCCTCACCCCAACACACTTCAACTAACCTTTTTGTTCAAAGTAACACCTTTGACACATACATACACTCTTTGACTTTTTAGCAGATACTAACTTATTGCACCATACTTGATTTTAATTTACCTCTTGCATTCTCCCCTCCCCCCACTAACCTCTGCATATTCCTCCTTAAGCACAAGCTCCCACTAGCACTGTGTGACCCTTTCAGGTTTGATTATATTATTTTATTACAGTTGTGCATACTATATATACAACAGACTTAATACAAATATAAACCCAGCCCTAAAGCTTGGTGTAGAGAGCTGGAATACAATTCATAGACATAGTACAAGAAACAAAGTTCTCCGATATCCCTTATGTTTGACTCAACCTGAGTAGAAACTCTGTGCAAGTAAAAAGGCCCAAAAATATGGAACTCTTCCAGAAGATTCTGATATTTTGCTATCTGCCAACTGTTTAAAAAATGTTAAAAATACATGTACAGTGACAATGTCATGTCCCATTTTAGGGAAATTTTAAAGGAACACCGGATACAGACCTCTCCGGAACACTTTTTTGAGTGACAAGGGTCCAGTGACTCTCCAGCTGGTCCTAGTGGCATTAAAAAACAAAGAAGGGAAGTAACCCTGGAAAAGGACTTGGTACCTGAAGTCATTATGGAAGGGGATTCCCCTTCTTAACAATAGTACACCTCCATTCTCTCCCCTCCTCCTGTCTCATCACTCATCAACAAGTCTTCAATAAAGGTAAGTGTCATTTTATTATTGTTTTATTCTGCATGTCTCATTGTTTTCTGTGTAGGTAAATGTATATTTCATGTAAAAAAAAATATTTATTTTAATACTTTTGGGTGTCTGGAACGGATTAATTGGATTTACATTATTTCTTATGGGGAAAATGAATTCGGAAATCGTCAGATTCAGGTTTAGTCACTCTCTCTGGAATGGATTAATTACGATAACCGGGGGTCCATTGTACTAATATACAACATTTTTTGCATGTTTTTTGTTGTAAACAATTATTGTAAATAAAATAATGATGAAAATATTAGTGCAGTTATTGTGTTGAATACAACGAGTGTACATATATACATTATGCATTACTATATTGGTCTATCAGGCCACAAACATTACTGAAAAAAAAAAGAAAAGAAAAGAAAAAAGTAACTAAAAAGTAAAATAAAAATATGCAACTTTACAGAAGTTGCCGCCACCCGGTCATTGAGGGTCAACTTCACGCCTCTATATCTTGGAAAGTACTGAACAGATTTTTTTGTTTTATTACCTATAGAAAAATATTATCTTTAATTCTGTAAGAAATTTTTTTTTATTTTGAAAATTCTTGGACCCTGGCTGTCATTCTGAGACTTGGCCTCTGGACCCTGAAAGGGTTAATAGAGGCATGTTGATACCTGTTAGTACTAAAGGAAGTTTGTGGAGTAGGATGCCATGGTCTGCTGTATCAAAAGCTTTCCTTTGGTTGATAAAGAATCCTAATGGATATTCATTATTTTCCAGTGCTGTGTAAAGCAAGTCTAGCATTTTTACAGTTGGTCATTTGTGCTTCTGTTTTTCCTGAAGCCAAATTGGCAGGGGCTGAGGATGCTTTGAACTGTTATAAATTAATATAATCTCTTGTGCACGAGTTTCTCAAAGATTTTGGATAGCAATGGTAAGTTTGATATTAGCCTGTAGTTATTTACATCTGTGGGGTCACCACCTTTGTATACTGGTGTAACCCTTGCTGTCCTGAGTAGTGTCGGGAAAGTGCTAGTTTCTATAGTTTCTAGTGGTTTGTTAAAGAGTAATGAAATAGCAGGTGAAAGGACATTGGCCATTTCCCACCAAGGTAGGGTGGCCTGAAAAAGAAAAACTTTCATCATCATTTACTCCATCACTGTCTCGCCAGAGGCATGCTTACACGACAGTTATAAAACTGCAACTTCAACACCCCTCCTCCTTCAGAGTGCTGGCACTGTACTTACCATCTCCAGAAATCAAGTCCGGCCTGCCGGTTTCCCTGAATCCCTTCATAAATGTTATATTGCTTACACTCCAACAGCACGTCAAGCTCTAAAAACCATTTGTCTCCATTCACTCCTATCTAACACACTCACGCATGCTTGCTGGAAGTCTAAGCACTTCACACACAAAACCTCCTTTACCCCCTCCCTCTAACTTTTTCTAGGCCGACCCCTACCCCGCCTTCCCTCCACTACAGATTTATACACTGTCGAAGTCATTCTATTTGGTTCCAACCTCTCTACATGTCCAAACCATCTCAGTAATCCCTCCTCAGCCCTCTGGATAATAGTTTTGGTAATCCTGAACCACCTCCTAATTTCCAAACTACTATATCTCTGCATAATATTCACACCACACATTGCCCTCAGACATGACATCTCCACTGCCTCCAGCCTTCTCCTTGTTGCAACATTCAGCACCCATGCTTCATATGCATACAAGAGCAATGGCATAACTATACTCCCATACATTCCCCTCTTTGCTTCCATGGACAAAGTTCTTTGTCTCCACAGACTCCTCAGTGCACCACTCACCCTTTTTGCCCTTGTCAACTCTATGATTTACCTCATCTTTCATAGACCCATCCACTGACAGGTGCACTCCCAAATATCTGAACACATTCACCTCCTTCATACTCTCTCCCTCCAATCTGATATCCAATCTTCCATTACCTAATTTTTTTGTTATCCTCATCACCTTACTCTTTCTTATATTCACTTTTAATTTCCTTCTTTACATACCCTACCAAACTCATCAACTTCTCTTCAGAATCTCCCAAAAGCACAGTGTCATCAGCAAAGAGCAACTGTGACAACTCCCACTTTGTGTTAGATTCTTTATCTTTTATCCCCACACCCCTTGCCAACACCCGAGCATTCACTTCTCTTACAACTCCGTCTATAAATATATTGAATGACCATGGTGACATCACACATCTCTAAGGTCTACTTTTACTGGGAAATAATCTCCCTCTCACCTACATACTCTAACCTGAGCCTCACTATCCTCGTAAAAACTTTTCACCGCTTTCAATAACCAACCTCCTATTCCATACATTTGCAACCTCTGCCATGTTGCCCCCTGTCCACCCTATCATATGCCTTTTCTAAATTCATAAATGCTACAAATACCTCTTTACCCTTATCTAAATATGGTTCACCTATATGTTTCACTGTAAACACTTGGTCTACGCACCCCCTACACTTCCTAAAGCCTCCTTGTTCATCTGCTATCTTGCTCTCCATCTTACTCTTAATTCTTTCAATAATAACTCTGCCATACATTTTACCAGGTATACTCAACAGACTTATTTCCCTATAATTTTTACACTCTCTTTTGTCCCCTTTGCCTTTATACAAAGGAACTATGCATGCTCTCTGCCATTTCCTAGGTACCTTACCCTCTTCCCTACATTTATTTAGTAAAAATGTTAACCACTCCAAAACTATATCCCCACCTGCTTTTAACATTTCTATCTTTATCCCATCAATCCCAGCTGCTTTACCCCCTTTCATTCTACTCACTGCCCCACACACCTCCCCCACACTCACAACTGGTTCTCCCTCACTCCTATAAGATGCTATTCTTCCTTGCCCTATACAAGAAATCACAGCTTCCCTATCTTCATCAACATTTAACAATTCCTCAAAATATTTCCTCCATCTTCCTGATACCTCTAACTCTCTGTTTAATAACTCTCCTCTCCTATTTTTAACTAACAAATCCATTCTTTCCCTAGATTTTATTAATCTCACTTCAAAACTTTTTCTTATTTTCAACAAAATTTGTTGATAACATCTCATCCACTCTCTCATTTGCTATCTTATTACATTGCTTTCCCACTCTCTTAACCTCTCTTTTTCTCTCCATATACTCCTCACTCCTTGCATGACTTCTACTTTGTAAAAACCTCTCATATGCTAACTTTTTCTCCCTTACTACTCTCTTTACATCATCATTCCACCAATCGCTCCTCTTCCCTCCCGCACCCACTTTCCTGTAACCACAAACTTCTGCTAAACACTCTAACACTTTATTCTTAACCCTTAAACTATCCAAACGTAGATCTACATTTTTTCAACATTTGAAAGTATGTAAAAAAAGTAGATCTTTTCTTTTTTTACATTTGAAAACGTGTAAAAAAAACTTTGATCTACGTTTTTTTTTTTGTTATACAGTGGACCCCCGCATAACGATTACCTCCGAATGCGACCAATTATGTAAGTGCATTTGTACGTGTATGTTTGGGGGTCTGAAATGGACTAATCTACTTCACAATATTTCTTATGGGAACAAATTCGGTCAGTACTGGCACCTGAACATACTTCTGGAGTGAAAAAATATCGTTAACCGGGGGTCCACTGTATTTGAAAATATGTAAAAAAAAAACATAGATCTACTTTTGGAGCTCTACGCATGTGAATGTAGATCTGCTTGGACAGTTTAAGGGTTAAACATACCCCATTGCCTATTGCCTATACTCTCATTGCCTATACTCTCACTAGCCCATCTGTCCTCCAACAGTTGTTTATATCTTACCCTAACTGCCTCCTCCTTTAGTTTGTAAACCTTCACTTCTCTTGTATTTGATGTTTCCATTCTCCTTGTATCCTATCTACCTTTTACTCTCACTGTAGCTACAACTAAAAAATGATCTGAAATATCTGTGGCCCCTCTATAAACATGTACATCCTGAAGTCTACCCAACAGTCTTTTATCTACCAATACATAGTCCATCAAACTTCTGTCATTTTGCCCTACATCATATCTTGTATACTTATTTATCCTCTTTTTCTTAAAATATGTTACCTATAACCAAACCTCTTTCTATACAAAGTTCAATCAAATGCTCCCTAGTATCATTTACACCTGGCACCCCAAACTTACCTACCACACCTTCTCTAAATGCTTCTCCTACTTTTTATATTTAGGTCCCCTACCACAATTACTCTCTCACTTGGTTCAAAAGTTCTTACACACTCGCTTATCAATACAAAAAAATATATGCAGTATTCAAATTTAAAAGACCCCTCAAGCCTAGTTTTATATTTCTGTCTTAATCACTATAAGGAACTCCTTATACATGTACATTGTGCTATATTTTTGCTGTTACTTCTCTTACAGGGTAACTTTGGTGATGTATACAAGGCTCGATTACGAGACTCAGGACTTGAGGTTGCTGTTAAAACTTGCAGAGTTACACTTCCTGATGAGCAAAAGAAGAAATTCCTGCAAGAGGGACGCATTCTAAAACAATATGACCATCCCAACATAGTCAAGTTTATTGGTATATGTGTTCAAAAGCAACCCATTATGATTGTGATGGAATTAGTGCCAGGTAACTCATCTGTTAAAGTGCTTTATTATTAATAATAAAAATGATACTGTTGGTGACACAAGAAATATATAGTGTAGTATATAGAGTACTTGAATATCTCTGTATCCATAATTAATATATACACTATATCATTTCATTGTGAATTACTTTACCTAATTTACTTAGTATTTATTCCATTGTCATTTCATTAGGCTTATACTGTAATCATTAGATTACATTTATCTATAACCTCACAATTTCTAAATACTGTACTTCAAAATTTTATAATTTCTCATTTACCCACAATCAGGATTTAATACTTAATAGGTATGCTAAATAAAAACCCACATGGAGACAGAAACATGGAAAATTCTGCAGCTATGAATGAAAAATCATAGAATCAGCTGTCACATCTACTACGCCTAACTATAATATCTCATAAGGACGATGGAAACCAGAGGTTACTTCAGAATCCACCCTTAAGAAGTAGAGTACATACCAGCATCAAACCAAAGTTGCAGTTAGTTAGTCACCTGTTTCTTGACCTGACACTCCACACACCTTCCTCCTGACCTGATACTCCACACACCTGCTTCCTGACCTGACCCTCCACACATCTGCTTCATGACTTCACAATCCACACACACCTGCTTCTTGACCTGACACTTCACACACTCCTGCTTCTTGACCTGACACTCCACACACACCTGCTTCTTGACCTGACACTTCACACACACCTGCTTCTTGACCTGACACTCCACACACACCTGCTTCTTGACCTGACACTCTACACACACCTGCATCTTGACTTGACACTCCACACACACCTGCATCTTGACCTGACACTCCACACACACCTGCTTCTTGACCTGACACTCCACACACCTGCTTCTTGACCTGATACTCCACACACACCTGCTTCTTGACCTGATACTCCACACACACACCTGCATCCTGACCTGACACTCCACACACACCTGCTTCTTAATCTGACACTTCACACACACATGCTTCTTGACCTGACACTCCATACACACCTGCTTCTTAACCTGATACTCCACACACACCTGCTTCTTGATCTGACACTCCACACACACCTGCTTCTTGACCTGATACTCCACACACACCTGCATCTTGACCTGACACTCCACACACACCTGCTTCTTGACCTGACACTCTACACACACCTGCTTCTTGACCTGATACTCCACACACACCTGCTTCTTAATCTGACACTCCACACACACCTGCTTCTTGACCTGACACTCCACATACACCTGCTTCTTGACCTGACACTCCACACACACATGCTTCTTGATCTGACACTCCACACACACACACACCTGCTTTTTGACCTGACACTCCACACATCTGCTTCCTGACTTGACATTCCACACACCTGCTTTCTGATACTCCACAGAGACACACACCTGCTTCTTGACTTGATACTCCACACACACCTGCTTCTTGACCTGACACTCCACACACACCTGCTTCTTCACCTGACACTCCACACACCTTCCTGACTTGATACTTCATACACCTGCTTCCTGATCTGACACTCCATACATCTGCTTCCTGACCTGACACTCCACACACACCTGCTTCTTGACCTGACACACACACACACACACACCTGCTTCCTAACCTGACACACACACACACACACACACCTGCTTCCTAACCTGACACACACACACACACACACACACACACGCACCGGGTGAAGCAGTCACGCGCGTTTGAGCTTCGTTAAATTTGCGTTTTTCTAACGGTCCCAGAGGGAATAGAGCTCGGCAAATAGGCGTGTGCAGATCTTAAAGTGCATATAATCATTTAAATCCCGCAAAAGGGAAATATAAGTGATCACAGAAGAGAAAAATATAGATAATAGTGCCAAGTGTATAGTTCCGGCCCAGAATAAGGCCGTTACTGGATGGTGTCATACAGAAGTGGTTTGTTGCGACTAGCAGCAAAGGCAGATCAGTGAGGGGAATCAATCAAGTTCAGGGACTAGCGTATTTCCCAAGAGCAGAAAAGTAAAGGAAAAAAAAGAAAAAAGAAAACTAGTAACAAAACCACAGGAAAAAAAATAAGGTATAAGTGCTTGATAAGTGTAGGAGACAAGCCGAGAACAGAGAAGCGGTTTGGAACTATGCCTAAAAGTGTTGCCATGCAGTACATCATGGTGTATACTGAAGGATTGTTACTCATATAGTCGCACATAATATACCATATAACAAGTGATAAATGTGGTAAATGAGGACGCAATGGGTAATGAGAACACAATACAGTGGACCCCCGCTTTACGATCAGCTCCCAATGCTACCAATTATGTAAGTGTATTTATGTAAGTGCATTTGCACGTGTATGTTTGGGGGTCTGAAATGGACTAATCTAATTCACAATATTCCTTATGGGACCAAATTCGTTCAGTACTGGCACCTGAACATACTTCTAGAATGAAATAATATCGTAAACCGGGGGTCCACTGTAATTGAAGTGAACCAGAAAGGAGCTGACTCATCATACAGCACAGCAGCAGCTGGGATGGATGACACCTCTCGCAGGAATAATGTACAGAACACCCAAGTTGTGGTAACAGGTTTGAGTGATCGGTTTTGCCCCTGAATCGTTAGTAGCTGGGTAACAGAAACCCTGCTTCGGAGTGATTATCATACATACAGCACTAGCATTTAGAAGGAGGACAAACTTGGTAGGAGAAGGAAGATAGATAACCTTGGTAGGATGCGTGTGCACGTGATAGGGATTTGGGTACATATGTACATGTAGTACATTTGTGGGTACATAAGGAATCGTAAATACGCACACACACACATACACGGGCTCACACACATAGGTACATACGCACAAGCGAACACACATATGCACTAACCCACACAGCCTCTGACTGTTAGGGACTACCCCAACCCCCTCCCTCCTCTTTTGCCTCCCTTTCCCCACCCCTCTACTGCTTCTCCTCCTCCTCCTCCTCCACCTCCCCCACCCTTCCCTCCTTGGCCTTCCCGTCTCCTCCCTTTCCACTCTCTTTCTCCCCATCTCTCTCTCTCTCCCCCCACTTCCTCTCCTTTCTCTCTCTCACTCTCTCCCCCCACTTCCTCTCCTTTCTCTCTCTCACTCTCTCCCCTCTCCTTTTCTCTTCCTCTTCCCTATTCCCCTCACTTTTACTTCCACCCTTTTTTCCCTCCAGCCTCTCTATCTCTCCATCCCCATCTCTCTCTCCCCACTCCCTCTCCCTTCTCTCACTCTTTCTCCTCTTCCTTTTCTCTTCCTCTCCCCTCCTCCGTTCCCCTCACTTTTACTTCCTTCCACCCCTTTTCCCTCCAGCCTCTATCTCTCCATCCCCATCTTTCCCTCCCTACTTGCTCTCCTTTCCCCCTCTCACTCTCTCCCCTCTCCCTTTTCTCTTCCTCTTCCCCATTCCCCTCACTTTTACTTCCTTCCACCCCTTTTCCCTTCAGCCTCTCTCTCTCTCTCTCTCTCTGTCTCTGTCTCTGTCTCTGTCTCTGTCTCTGTCTCTGTCTCTGTCTGCTGTCTGTCTGTCTGTCTGTCTGTCTCTTCTTCTCCTCTCTCCTCTCTCTCTCTCTCTCTCTCTCTCTCTCTCTCTCTCTCTCTCTCTCTCTCTCTCTCTCCTCTCTCTCTCTCTCTCTCTCTCTCTCTCTCTCTCTCTCTCCCTCCCCCCCCTTACAGCCCTCCACTCCCCCCTCACACACACACAAGTATACCACATAACCCATTAAAAAAAAGATGGCTCAGAGGGGAACTCAAAGGACCAGGGGTTCAGAGGAGAATGACTCTGGTAAGGAAGAATGGATGGAAGATCAATGCAAAAGGATGGAACAAGAGTAGGAGAGAAAACTAGGTGAAATGGCAAAAAGGATGGAGGCAGAGCTTTCTGTGAAATTGGAAAAGAGGTTGGAGGAGGAGAAATGGGAATCAAAAGTCAAAGTTGCAGTAGCCAGGATAAGGGCCCTAGAATATGAGGTAAATAGGCTGAAGCAAGTTTCATGGGTATGGACCAGAGGAAATATAGAATCTGAAGCTGGTACACCCCTATTGAACGAGGAGCCTAATGGGAAGGAAGGAGACATAACTTATGTTAAGGCCCTATCAGCCCACCAAGCAGGGCTGAGGAATGAAAGGGGAGAGTGGCTGAGAGCAGAGGTGATGGTGGGAGAGGAGGGTGAGGGTGGAGAGGAGGACAGGTTACATGCAGAGGCAAGACCATGCCACTGAGAGCTACTGGAAAACAGTAGGGAGAGATTGGCCACACACAAATGGGGATCAGAGACACGGACGGAAAGGCAATGGGAGGAGGAGAGGGAGATGTCAGTGTTTATTCACAGGCTTCAGGAGAGTGAGTTAAGGACACACAATGAAAGACCGCAGGAGGAAAGACAGGAGATTGAAAAAAGCATCAAAGAAATAGGCAAAGAGGATATGTCTGAAATAGTAAATTTTCAGAGAATGGGGGGGGGGGTACACTGATTTTCAAGACAGAAACAGTGTGAAACAGAATCCTGCAAGAGAAACCACGGCTGAAAGAATCGTCAGCATACAAGAGGGTGTTCCTAGACCGAGACAGAACAAAAACAGAATGACAGCAGCTGAGGGAATGGATACAAAAGCGAAAGGAGCTGGGAAGAGAGACAAAGACAGAATCAGCAGAGGACAACCAGAACAGGGCAGAGCAACAAAAGCAAGCACACACAGAACCATCCCCAGAACCCCACAACCAAGCATGCTATCCCAACACAGACCACAATCCACACTTATAGCCCCCACCCCACACTATGTTGTAGAATCCTGCAGCACACTGCCAGGTCCCCCATCCTCACAGACTCCCTAAAACAGTGTTGGAAAGGAAACTGAAGGTATGGTACACCAACACTAATGGAATAATGAATAAGTGGGAGGAGTGGCATAAAAGAGTCAAAGAGGCATCACCGGATATCATAGCCCTCACTGAAACCAAGCTCACAGAGATGATAACAGATGCCATCTTTCCAATGGGATATCAGTGAGGTATCACAGTGGGCGCCTGTGACGAGCAGGGTCCCACAGGGGTCAGTTCTAGGACCAGTGCTATTTTTGATATATGCGAACGACATCATGGAAGGAATAGACTCTGAAGTGTCCCTATTCGCAGATGATGTGAAGTTGATGAGAATAATTAAATCTGATGAGGATGAGGCAGGACTGCAAAGAGACCTGGACAGGCTGGACATGTGGTCCAGAAACCGACTTCTCGAATTCAATCCTGCCAAATGCAAAGTCATGAAGATTGGGGAGGGGCAAAGAAGACCGCAGACAGAGTATAGGCTAGGTGGACAAAGACTACAGACCTCACTCAGGGAGAAAGACCTTGGGGTGACCATAACACCGAGCACGTCACCAGAGGCACACATCAACCAAATAACTGCTGCAGCATATGGGCGCCTGGCAAACCTGAGAATAGCGTTCCGATACCTTAATAAGGAATCGTTCAAGACACTGTACACTGTGTATGTTAGGCCCATACTGGAGTATGCAGCACCAGTCTGGAACCCACACCTGGTCAAGCACGTCAAGAAGTTAGAGAAAGTACAAAGGTTTGCAACAAGGCTAGTCCCAGAGCTCAGGGGAATGTTGTACGAGGAAAGGTTGAGGGAAATCGGACTGACAACACTGGAGGACAGTAGTCCTGCGGCTACTGTCAAGGTGGATTCCTAGGAATTTTCCCTCTGTGAATCTTGTAATGGGTGATCCATTTAGCGTTATGTTAGGTGGAACATTTGCAGCTTTGTTTCCAAACTGAATGTTGTAGGTTTTGTCAGTATTCAGGGTAAGTTTATTAGTCATCATCCAGGCAGATATTTTCTGCAATTCGGCATTGACAGTGTTGGCGAGTGTGACTAGGTTTGGGTGAAAGAAGACATATGTAGTGTCATCTGCAAATAATATGGGTTTGAGTAGCTGTGATGCATTCGGTAGGTCATTGATGTAGATGAGAAAGAGGAGTGGTCCAAGGACACTTCCATATGGGACTCCTACTGTGATTGGTTGAGTGGAGGAGTTTGCACCATTTGTGTACACACATTGGCTTATGTTACTAAGGTATGACTTTAGGTAGTTAAGGGAGTGGCCTCTTATATCATAGTGTGTTAATTTAGCGTACAGCAGTTCATGGTCGACTGTATCAAAAGCTTAACTTAAATCAATGAAAATTCCCAGCGGGACTTCTTTCTTTTCGAGAGCGATACATATTAGTTCTAGCATGTGTATGATAGCATCATTTGTGCTTTTGTAATTCCTGAATCCAAACTGACAATGGTTTAGTATGTTATGTGAGACGAGGTAGGAATAGATCTGTTTATGAATTAATTTTTCAAAGATTTTAGAGAGGAGTGGTAAGTTAGATATTGGTCTATAGTTATTCAAGTCAGCTTGGTCACCTCCTTTGTGGATTGAAGTGACCCTCGCTATTTTGAGAATTGTTGGGAAGGTGGAGGATTCAATGGATTTGTTAAAGAGTGTTGCAGCAATTGGTGACAATACATGAGAAGCTTTTTTGTACATAAAAGTTGGCACGTTGTTTATACACACACATGCACACACGCATGCGCATGCTCGCTAGCTTTCTGATCTGACACTCCACACTCCTGCTGCCTGACTTGACAGTCCACACTCACTTCTTAACCTGACTCTACATTGGCTTGTACATCTGAAGGACACGTCCTCCTTGTATATACATGTACTTATTCCAATCTCACATATTTGCACTTGTTGAAGGTGTGTATATTTTGACCCCAACTGGAGTCAGAATATACAGATCAACTTTACTTTCTGTGTTTCTGTTTCCCTGTTGGTTATTACTTAGCATCAACAAGTGTTCGTGAAATTTTTATTGAGTATCTATCACTGTATTTTTTAACATGTGAAATGTAAGGGTGGCACACCTAAATGTTTAGTAAACATTGCATTGACTAACCATCAGGTCTAGTATAAGGGTACTAGGCACCCAAGGCAAACTTTCAGCTTTGCACTTCTTTTCCTTATTCCTCAATAATTACCAGTAACTTATCAGTATTGCACAATATTATGCATAAAATCTCTGCACTTAGTCACAGATTTATTTCACTTAAAGAATTGTAACTAATAGTATATCTGGTATGGATTGTACAGTCTCATTGTTTTACACTTTTGACATTACATATATGAGAAGAAATGCATATCTCAGTATCTAAGAATTTACGTTATCTCTGTTCCAACTTTTTTGTATCAAATGTAGAAACAAGTTCCTTTGGGTTAATGTAATTTTAAAATTTCATGCTCTGTTGGTAATTTGGATAGGCCAGAAAACCTGTGTTGCATTGTTGAGGAATGGATGGATGTACTTGTCAATTTTATCTTGGAAAAACTTTGTTCACTACACCACAAACAGGGAAGATCAACATGATGTGGAGATCACTGTGTGGTGATGCACATTTTGAAACTATATCTGGAAATAGTTCAGTTTACCTCATAAATCTGAATATGAATATGGGGAATCTCTTTTATTTTTTTTTCAGAATAAAAAATAATGTTCAGTGTATTTTAAAAATTTGAGTTTGGAATATCCTCTAATTATGAACTTTCTGAATACAAGCTAAATTTCAGATTTTTTCATTTAATACAAGACAAAGGTTCAATTTATATCATTGCTATGCAGTAATCAGAATTTTCTGAACTGTACTGTACTGTGATCATATTCTCATATGTAATCATATTCTCCTATGTATACAAATAAATTTTTTTGTAATGTATAAATCCAGGTGGATCATTACTAAGTTTTGTGAGGAACCATAAAGGACAACTGACGGCAAAACAAATCATGGGAATGTGTTTGGACACTGCTTCTGGGATGGCTTATCTGGAGTCCAAGAACTGTATCCATCGTGACTTGGCAGCTAGAAATTGTCTTGTTGGTAGGTTACTGAAATTTTTAACCCTTTGGGTGGGTTTCCTGACTGAAATCTAAAGCAAAATTGCCCCTAGGAGAGTTATTCAGTTGAATTCACATCCATCTAAAAATATGCCCATTCACTCAGTAATTCAGCTCTTCTCTTAAGCTTCAGAGAATAGAAAGTGAAATTCTCTGTAAAAGTGGGGATATTTTTATAGAATGAGATGGATTACTGTAATGTCTAATATTTTTTACATAGCATCATAAATATATTTTAAGTCTTTTTTCAACAAAGATGAACTATTTTGTATGTCATTTATTGGTAAACTATTAAAAGTCTCAATTTTAAGCATAAATATTGATTATAAGGTATTTTATTACCAGTTTATATAAGATCATTGATCATCTTATGCTGAAAAATAAACAAAATGGTATATGATTAATGAGTAATTTTCCATGAATAATTGACTTCACTAAGAAAATGGCCTTGACTGCTTAGGATACAATCATTAGATTAATAACTCAGTGTCATCTTGGGGGTGAAAATCGCTGGTACTTTTGCACTTTCCTATGCACCCTGTTTTCTGGATTTTGTGGTATTTTAGTAATAGGGATGTGAATGGTTCTTTTTTTTTCTATTAAGACCAAGATTAAAGAGTGTCAGGCATCACTCTTGTGATACCAGAGGAAATATAACAAGAAGAAATGAATCTGTTAGTTAAAATGACACAGGTACAACTAATGTAACGTTTTATTGTGGCAACTTCTCATCACAGTAAAATGTTGCATTAATTGCAGCTGTGTCCTTTTACCTAACATTTTGTTGCTAATTCTACCATTATTACAAGTGAAACTGTTAGGGGATTTTTCTTTTTCATGATTTCATATTTTGATCATTATGTTCCCTCTGTGTATTCTTCCCATTTTTTAGCATTGTTCACTTCACAGAAATATAACTTTTTACCCAACACTTAAATAATTTGAGCAGGTACTGGAGTACTCTTACACAGGAATGGAGTGTTTTTTGTACAGGATATAGCATTCTTAACACCTTTTTTTTCTTAATGAGACCTACAACAGTCAGCTAACACACATGCAGGTACTGCTAGGTGAATGTGTATAAGTAAACTTGCCCATATGTTTTTCTATGTCAGGAAATCAAACCCAGGTCCTTGTGATTACAAGCCGTATACAATAGACCGTCATTTAACCCTTTCAGGGTCTGTGCCGTAGGTTTACGGCTTTGAGCTGAGGGTCCAAACCGTAGATCTATGCCATGAGCTCAGCTCACTCTGATAAACTGTGAGTGGTAAATTTGGGCCTAGATAAGAGAGAATACATATATGTGGCATGTGTGCACCACATAAAACAAATTCTGTAGCACACAGTGCATAATGAAAGAAAAAACTGAGACCATAATTTTCGATTAAAACAGCGACTTTGCAGTGTTTTTTTTTTTTTGTATATTTTTTATAGTTGTATTTGCAATCTCTTGGTCTCACTTGATAGAATGGAAAATATATTAGAGAAATAGAGATGATTTTGATTGGTTTTAGTACTGAAAATGGTATGAAATTGAGCTCAAAGTAGCGGAAATGTTAAATTTTTGCCGATGTTCAAGAGTAAACAAATGACCTCACATGTCTAATACATGCCAGCTGGTGGGTCTAATATATGTTCACAAATGTGGTGATATTATTTATACAATTATTTCAATATTTCATAACAATAAATCTATTTTTTGGTTTGAATAAAAATTCATTATGTAAATAAAAAATCAAAATGGAATTCATTTGTGAAGCCTGAAAATGTAATTAATGAACAAAGGAAATGTTAGTTTAGTGCCAGGAATGCCTGCATTGTTTATTCTGGACCCTATTTTGAAATCGGAATATTTTGAACTTTGCATTAAATTCGCCAAATTACCAATTTCCAATCACTTTATTTTGTAGTCAAAACAATTGACTTGACGATTTCTTGTGCTCAGTCGATAGAATAGAGGTAATACTAGTGAAATAGCTAAGAATTTGGTCGAACTTGCACACGAAAATCACTCACTACGAAAGCAAAAGTCTCGGCAGATGATGCAACATCCCCCAATGAAAAGCAGGGGTGTCACTAGCACGTTAAGAGACAACACAATAAGTGTCAGGGGCCCAAGACTGTTCAACTGCCTCCCAGCGTACATAAGGGGGATTACCAATAGACCCTTGGCTGTCTTCAAACAGGCACTGGACAAGCATCTAAAGTCGGTACCTGACCAGCCAGGCTGTGGCTCGTACGTTGGATTGCGTGCAGCCAGCAGTAACAGCCTGGTTGATCAGCCTCTGATCCACCATGAGGCCTGGTCACAGATCGGGCTGTGGGGGCATTGACCCCCGGAACTCTCTCCAGGTAAACTCAAGGTAAACTGAATAATGTAATTGGCCTAAAATGGGAGTCAAAGTTGGCAAAATCGCCAATGCGTAAATATCGCTGGCACATCAAAATTTGCGAGAGCATAATTTCATCAATTTTCCATCAAATTTCATACTTTTTGTTTTACCTTCAGAAAAAGATTCTTTACCATTTCGTAAGAAAAAATAACAAAAATTTTTTTGTTGGAAAATTCTTTGACCCTGGTGCCCACTTTGAAATTTGGCCTCTGGATGCTGAAAGGGTTAATATGGTAGTTATGTTCCTGAAAATGCCATGTTAGACAAAATCATGCTAGACAAACTGAAGAACTTATGGGTAAAATAGGGTTACGTCCCCGGGGCCCCCCAAAAAGTCAAACAACTTTTTTTAAGACCTCGAGATATTACAAAATAAGAGTGAATATGTAATTGTCGTGATATATTACTGCTTAAGACTACAAATTCAATAGAAATAATAGTATTTCTTACCTTAAATTGTGAGTAATGGTGTTTGTGGATGATAATGAAGAGAGCGGATATGGATGGTGTGGCCCTACTGGGCTGAGGTGGATGGATGTTAGTTGTTGGCAGAAGTGGATGGTAGAGGTTCTGGTACTGAAGTCAATGGTTGTATTGGAATGTGCATAAATTCTGTAATGGATCTCTGGGCTCTTTTACCCTGCATTACATTATACTGTTGATGGTAAGGCATCATCAGCTGGTCTACACCCCGTTTTACGCACTGCTTCTAGATTTGTCAGGGTCCTTTTCAATGAGAAAGTCTGCTAGTATAGCAGCAACATGGAACTGCTCACATAACTGCTGCGATGTTAACTGTTTTTCTTCTGGTTCTTCTTAATCTTCTTCTGTTATCTCCCTCCCTTGTATCTGTGCATCGAGCCATGTCAACATTTCCTCTGGACTCCTGTTTTCATTATCATCATCTAAGAGCTCATTCACATCTTCTTCATTCATATCTTCAAAACCATCACCTGGTAATCTCCTTGCCAGCTGAACAATTTCCTGAATCTGACTCTCAAGCAAGGAAAAAACCAATGAAAGAATTAACTACAGAAGGCCATAACTTTCCTTGGCCTGCATTTAATGTTGATTGGGGCACTTCATTCCATGCACTTCTAGCATAGCTGATGGTATCTGCAATGTTAAATTTATTCCAGAAGCTTGGTACTGCAAGGTTGGAGTCAGAGTCCATTGATGCAACTAGTTTTTTCATAACTTTTTTTGTGTAGTTACATTGGAATGACATAACTCACTTATCCAGTGGTTGTATTAGAGATGTTGTATTTGGAGGTCACATCTAGCAAAGTTTGTGGATGAGTACGGGAATTATCAAGAATGAAGAGAGCCTTGAGTACAAGGTTCTGGCTGTGCAGGTAAAACTTGACTTCAGGAATAAAGTGATGCTTAAACCAGTCAATAAATATTTCCTCTGTTATCCATGCTGACTGGTTTGACCTCCAAATTACTGGTAAGGTGTTTTTATCTACACCTTTCAAAGCGCGAGGATTCTTAGAGCGTTAAATAACCATGGGCTTACACTTGAAATCACCTGCTGCATTACTGCAAAGGAGCAAGGTGAGGCGATCCTTTGCTGTCTTGAAGCCCAGTGCACTTTTCTCTTGCTGACTGATAAGTTCATGTTAGCATTTTTTCAAAAAACACTTGTCTCATCAGCATTAACCCTTTCAGGGTCCACAGGCCCTCTCAGAGACTTGTTCTCTGGGTCCCCCAAATTTCAAAAAAAAAAAAAATTATTTTTTCTTATGAAAAGATAGAGAATCTTTTCCCAATCATAAGGACACCAAAAGTATGAAATTTGATGGAAAACTTACGGAATTATACTCTCGCGAAGTTAGCGGTCTCGACGATGTTTACACATCGGCGATTTTGCCCACCTTGAGTCCTACTTTCGGCCAATTCCAATGTACTAGTCGACAAAAATCATAACTATTTCGCTAGAACTCCATTTTTTTCTATCGAATGAGTACAAGAAACCACCAATTTACCAATATCAACTATCCAATACAGTGGTCAGAATTTAGCAATTTTGCCAATTTCACACAAATTTCAGAAGATGCCAATTTCCAAATAGGGTCCAGAATAAACAAGAAAGACATTCCTGGCACTAAAATAACATTTCCTTTGTTCATTAGTCACATCCCCAGGCCCTTCTTACATTTCTTTTGCTTTCCACTTTGAATTTTTATTCTCACAAAAAAAAATAAGATTTACTGTTTTGCAGACTACTGCATTAGTGTAGAAATGGTATAAATAATATTGGTGCACTTGTGAAAGGATATTAGACTCACCAGTTGATGTGTATTGGACGCTTTGCATGATTTATTTACTTTTGAACTTTGGTAAAAATCGAACATTTCTGCTACTTTGAGCTCAATTTCAAGGTATTTTCATTGTAAAACCAGTCAAAATCATCTCAATTTCTGTAATATGTCTTCCATTCTATACAATGAGACCAGGAAAACTAGAATACAACAATAAATGCCATACGAAAATATAGTGCAAAATCGCTGTTTTAATCCAAAAACACGGTCAAAGTTGTTTTTTTCCTCATTACGCACTGTGTGCTGCAGGATTGTTTTATACT